TTGAGGACCTCTTTGGAAGATTTCTTTGGAGGACCTCTTTGGAGGATTTCTTTGGAGGAACTCTTTGGAGGACCTCTTTGGAAGAACTCTTTGGAGGAACTCTTTGGAGGAACTCTTTGGAGGACCTCTGAGGACCTCTTTGGAGGACCTCTTTGGAGAAACTCTTTGGAGGACCTCTTTGGAGGAACTCTTTGGAGGACCTCTGGAGGAACTCTTTTGAGGAACTCTTTGGAAGACCTCTGGAGGACCTCTGAGGACCTCTGGAGGAACTCTGGAGGAGCTCTTTGGAGGAACTCTTTGGAGGAACTCTGAGGACCTCTGGAGGACCTCTGGAGGAACTCTTTGGAGGACCTCAGGGGAGCCCCTCTGGAGGACCTCTTTGGAGGACATCCCCGGCCGGGGGCCGTTCTGAGTCTGGGACTGGCTCTCTCTGTGTGCAGCTACTTCATGGTGAACTCGGAGGGGAAGATCATGAACCAGCAGAGAGGCGTGTTCCGCAGTAACTGCATGGACTGCCTGGACCGGACCAACGTCATCCAGAGCCTGCTGGCCAGGCGCTCCCTGCAGTCCCAGCTCCAGGTGCGCGCCGGTCCCCGAGCAGTCTGAGGCCTCACGAGTTTATGCTATTCAATTCAATTCAATTCAAATGTATTTATATATTAGCGCCACATCACAACAACAGTTGTCTCACAGCTCTTTCCAAACAGAGCAGGTCAGACCCTACTCTGAAGTTAATTACAGAAACCCAACAATTCCCACCATGAGCAAGCACTAGGCGACACAGGCAAGGAAAAACTTCCATTTACAGGCTACAGACTAGGCTGGTCCCAATACGATGGATCGGATCGGCCGCCGATATTTGCATAAAAATGCGTATCGGCTGGCGGGAAAAAATGCAGATGCAGACTCCAGATCCAGTTTTTTTTTTTTTTTAAGCCAGATCCCACACGAAATTTAGCATTAGCATCTCCTAACCAACAGCTCTGTGTCCTAACCATTAAGTTGTTATTAGAGTAAATCCCTGTTCAACATGAGTCTGACAACTAAGTAAGTAGATAAATAACTTTAAACTTTAGTACAAGCTCTGATAGGCCGGGATCGGATCGGAAGTGAAAAAGCTGGATCGGGACATCCCTAGTACAGTCAGAAGCAGCCCAGAGCTGGGGGAGGGGGGTGGGTGGGTTCTAGCCCAGCCCCGTTCCTCAGATGGTCTTCACGCAAATTTATCCTGCTGGCAGGTTTTAAGTTTTGAGTTTAAACCGATGCCGGTTTTTTTTGCTTTTCCGTGGTCCACTGTGTCAGATGCAGCTTTTAGATCTAAGAGCACGAGAAACCACCAGAGTCTACTAGCTACAGAGACCAGGAGTTAACTGGGTCAGGTTTGGAAACCAGACCCCAGGCATTTCGGCTCTGGCTGCAAACTGTCTTCTGTTTAAAAAAGAAAAGGCCAAGTTAGAGATGGGCCAATTATTAGCAAAAAACAGCAGCTACTGGTCCTGCTTTAGAGTTTCCGTCATCCTCAGAATCAGAAACACTTAAATAATAGTTTCTGTCATCCTCAGAATCAGAAATACTTAAGTAATAGAGTTTCTGTCATCCTCAGAATCAGGAATACTTAAATAACAGAGTTTCTGTCATCCTCAGAATCAGAAATACGTAAACAATATAGTT